TGGTAGGTCATCCCCAGCAGGTGTCTTCTTTTTTATGCTTTGCTTACCAGATCAGCAGATCCAGGAGGTTTGACTAACTCCGAGACAGCTAAAGTACCTTTCCTGTGACACAAGAAAAGAGGGAAGGCCATGAAAGAACTCACCGTGGGATGACACAAAAGCAAGCAAGGTTTTCTTTTAAAGAGATGTGAATGGGCAAGAAGCTACACTGTCCCGCTCGGCATCACTGAAAGCAATCTGAGGCTGTACATATATATTTATCTTTGGGAATGAGATAAAGAGAGGCTGAGCTATCTCTGTCATGGGCTTTCTCAGCCTCATGGGATTTCACAATTAGTCTCAAGAAAGGAGAAGAATCTATGGGGACTGACAGGTCAATAATAAAAACCATCATATGCACGACAGTGATGAAGCAATGGGACCTCACATTCAGTGGGGATTTTGGACTTCTCCAATGCCTTCATCTCCATCTACCTCCTCCTCATATTTCCCTATGAGAAGAATTACAGAAGATGCTACACAAACTCATTTTAACAGCTGAGAACATAAAGGAGCTATCGCCTATCCCAAAATCATTCAGGGAACTAGGGATGAAGCCAGGACTGAACTGGGGTCCCCAGATCCAGGGTATTGCCCCCCACCCCCCACTAGCTTATTTCAAATAGGATTTGGGAGCTAGGAAAGGCTCTTAAACCTGTGGATGAGAAGACCTGTCTTATCTGAGGAGTGAGGAAAGGAGACGAAGTGGAAGAGGCCTCTCACACCTTCAAATTCCAAATGACTCCTCAAGGACAAAGTACATTCCCACCCAGGGCCTTGTTAACAAGGACCAGAGGGAGCGTGTTTTGGGAGCCCCATAATGATGCTGGGAAGTGTCGGGAGCACTGTGTTGTCCTAGGAGAAGCCAGGAGTGGGGGTGGGGATGACCTTACCTCCTACTGTGATTTTCGGGTGAGTTGTTAGAAGTTCAAAGTCTAGGGAGCACAGCTCAAGTAGAAGAGTACCTGCTTAGCAAGCAGAAGGCTCTGAGTTCAAACCCAACACCACAGAGAAGGAGGAGGAGGAGGAGGAGGAGGAGGAGGAGGAGGAGGAAGTTGTTCTAAGTCTGATAACACAGATGATGAAAGAGAGGACAATGGAGCAGATGTATAGTATGGCTTTCAGATACTAATGCCCTCTGACAGCTCATTATCCACCTAAGCCCCCGTGGTAGCCTATGTTTTGTGCAAAGTCCACTGGGCTTTGCAAGTAGAAAGAGCTGTGGTTATTCCTTCATTTCGGGCTGCTGAACCTCCTAGGGCCTCAGTTTCTTATTTGTGAAATGCATGTAACAACCATTCTGAAGTTGCTAGGAAAATGAAATGCAGCAATGCACCTGCCGTTCCTGTTGAGGAATCATCTGTAATGTTAATAACTTAATAATAAATGATAACATTAATCACGTGCTTGTTAATACATAACTTTATACCAGTATCTTTGGGATGACTGAAAACGAATCAACCCTCCCAACAACACTGACATAGATACCCGTGTTATTCTTATTCCCATTTGACAAATAAATAAATTGAGGTTCGAAGTGATTCCGTAATTTGCCTAGGCCCATTAGGCATTTGAGGAGTAAGAGGTTACACTTTGATTTATCTGAATCCAAAGTACATAATCTTAACAATTACAAAATGGGACTTCCTCTCCACCTCCTTCCATAAACCTCTTTTGCCCAAACGATTACTTGTACCTTCTGGTGTTTGCAGTGGTTGTGGCTGCAAATGTGCCATGAAAATGATCAGGAATTAGCCTAACATAATTATCTCAGTAATAGCAAGCTGTTTTCTACCTATAACCGCCCCCATTTTATAATACAAAATCCAACTTCCAGCTGCCGGGTAGCTGCATAAACCTCTTGCCCTTCCATTCTATCTGTTCTTAATTCTCACTTTAAAAAATAATAACCCTGAATCTGTGCAGAGCTGATTTCCCTGCGTTGATTTCAGATTCTTGGCTCACAGGGCTCCCACTCAGGTATATCATATATGAATGGTAAATGCTTTTTCTGCTCAGCAACATTTTTCTAAATGTAAAATTACAAAGGCACTATAATAAGCATTGCCATTGATTTTAGCCGCTAAAATGCATAGGGAAGCTGGGCATGATAGTACACATCTGTGATCTAGCACTAGAGAAGATGAGGAAAGCAAGTACAAGGCCAGCCAGGGCTACATAACGACATGGAACTCAAAAAAATATCACAAGGGAACAAAATACATTTCCCAAGCAATTCTTGAATAAAGAGAAACTATTATAACAGTATTCAGTAATAATATAAGACAAAACAGTCTTTTATGAATTTTCAATGTAGGCATTCATTGTATTATCAGTCATTGTATTTTCAAGCTTTGAACTCTATTTGAAGTTATCCTGGATAGGTAGCACCATCAGATACCTAGACGAAATAAATCCTTTGGGGTTTTGAGTAGAAGGCCAAAGCCAGAGTAGTCTTGCAGTGATTCTATGCTGTAGATCAAGCCACTCTTGCGTTTTGACTTATGACCAAGTAGATGCAGACATACTCAACGGTTTATGGTTATTACAGGTACTAAGTCTCTCTCAAGCACCAAGAGAGGGCTCAAATGTATATGTTGAACAAATCTATGTCTTCTTCTGTAGGTAAGTAGTCTTTTTTTTATTGTGAAAATTGCAGGTAAGTATTCTTTTGAGAAACAGTTTCAGGCTACAGGAACAGGTCCTGCAACTGCAATCAATCATCAAACAGAAAAGGTATGACAGGATGATCTTAGGCAGGCTTGAAAAACAGAAAATGGCATGAGCTGGCAGTTTAATAAACTTATTTCTATATCCACTTCCATTGAGATCTGTAGACCTCCTCCTTCCAATTATACCTATGGATCCTGTGAATGAATTACTAAGGAAGAAAAACAATCACTTGGGAATTGTCTTTCACATAGTTTTACTCAATGCAATCGTCAGTGGTGAAGAGAAATCAATCCTCTCTGTAGGAAGAACTAGTATTACAACTGAGAACTCTGGGAAAAAAGTATAGGAAAAAAGTATGCATTTTAACTCATGCATAGTTGCTTGATTAAACTTGTGAAGACTTTCCAAGGAAGTTCTAGGTAATAAGTGTGTGAATGTACTTCTCAGGATGGGCCTGGACTGCAAATATTATTGTTTGTTCCACATGTGTACAAAAAGATAGCCACTGCAGACAAAGCTCTTCATAATCAGCAGCTAAGGTTACATGTTATGATCTTTCCCTGATCCCCATACTTGATGTACTTCCATACAAAGGAGATATGGGGGCAAGGACTGGGACTTTGTACTGGCTCCACAGGATGGACTTGTCCACACTAGGCCTTGCTGACAGCTACTTACCAATAGCAGATACCAACTCTTAGCCTCAAAAATGTCACTATTCCTTAGGGGATGGCTGTGGTTTAAATGTAGCCCCCAAATTCATATACTGGAAACGTAATTCTTCGTGCAAGTGTTGAAAGGTGGGAACTTTAAGAGATGAGTAGGATGAAGGGTTCTGTCATCTTGAACAGATCGATGCTCTAATCAGAATGGGTGACTCATCTCGGGTGTATGTTTCTGGTAAAAGAATGAATTCAATCCTTCCAACTCCTCTCTTTGTGTGCACTCTCTTGTCCTTCTGCCTTGGGATGACCTAGCAAGAAGGCCTTCACCTGATGGCCTGATGTTTGTAGAGCAAGAATATATATATATATATATGATAAATTCACATATACAAATATATTTATACATATAGTTTATATATGTACATATTTATACAATTCAGAAATTTTACTTATCAGAGTTTATTAAAATGCAGAATAAAAAAAACACAGCTCTTAAAATTTTTTATTTTATTATTATAAGTGGAGGAAATATGTAAACAACCAACCTCTTCCAAAAGGAGATTAAATAAATTACTGTTTTCTTGCAAACTATTGTTAAAATTAGATATAATGAAGTGGAATTAGGACGAAAATAGAGTATGATTGAAGTACCTTATATGTATGCATGAAATTAGAACAATTAAGCCTACTGAAATTGTTTTAAGAAGAGGGAGGGGAATGAGGGAGAAGATGAATTTGATTGGAATGAACTGTATGTAAACACATAAATGTCATAATGATCACCCTTATACAACTAGTATATGTTAATAAACATCCATTTAAATGGCAAAGATAACATGACAGTATGTCCGTACCGGTGAGATATGTTTAGATACATGTTTATAAAATTCTGTAACCCTGTGTACTCAATACACAATCAGGGTGAGCATTGATGCTTAACATTACTCCTGAAGAATTGAGTAATGAGTTGAATAATAAAGGGTGAAGGTTTTGACTTTGATTTTTCTATTGTTAAAATTTTTGTTCTGTTTTCATTTGCATGAACAATAATTCCTAATGAAAAAAATTAAAAACCAGTGAATATTTGCATTTTAGAAAAATGAGAAATCCCAAAGGAAATACACATTCTCTCTATATAATTCCCTCCAATGTTGTCATTTCCACAGGGTATTGGTACTGGAAGACAACTTTTGGAGTTACACCGTGTTGGCATGGACATCACATCGTGTGTGAAAGTGGGCGGTAGGAGCCACTTTCGGGGGAAGTCTGCAGGATCTGCTCATTCTTGGCACGAGGATGGGACTCGCTATGCTTCAGTTTAGAGAACGTTTTTCGCTGGTAAGTTTGGAGACACTTGCAAAGAATAAATCAAGGGTCCTTCCTGCAGGACCGTGTACCTCCTGGCATACACTTTCCTAGATCACCTTCACCTAGAATGGGAAGGGTTCTGAGGATTACATAGTCACTAGCCAAAGACTGACTATAGAACCATTGCCAGGTAGAGTCACAGCAACGAGCAAGAGTATGTCTTCCTAACAGAAGTAATGAGCGAGATCTTTCTTGCTGAAGAATCTAGGACAGATGGGGAGTACTCCCATGATTTCTGCTCTCCCAGGAGGACATCCTTCATGCCGGGTCTCGCTTTCCCATGAGCACTCTGCGCAGGGCACCCTGTACATCGGGGTTCCTGAGGCTGTAGATGAGTGGGTTCAGCATGGGGCTGACGACAGTGTTGAGGATGCCAATGCCCTTGTCCTTGTCTGAAGCCTCCACGGAGCCCAACCTCATGTAGCTGAAGACGCCTGTCCCATAGAAGATGCCCACCACGGTGAGGTGGGAGCTGCATGTGGAGAAGGCCTTCTTCCTGCCCTCCACCGACCGAATTCGGAGAACCGCAGCTGCCACGTTTATGTACGAGCTGACAATGAGAATCACGGGTGCACCTGCCATGAGGATTCCCAGACCAAAGAGCAGCAGCTCATTGAGCTGGGTGCTGGAGCAGGAGAGCTGGAACAGCTGGGGAAGGTCACAGTAGAAGTGATTGATCACATTGGGACCACAGAAGTTGAGTGTGGAGATGGCCACGGTGTGGGTCAGGGCATTGGAGAAGGCACAAGCCCAGGACACTGTCACCAAGATCCTCTGCACTGTCTGGCTCATGCGGGTGCTGTAGGTGAGGGGCCGGCAGATGGCCAGGAATCGATCATAGGCCATGGCCGTCAACAAGAAGCAGTCCACCCCAGCCAATTGATGGAAGAAGAAGAGTTGTGTGAGGCAGGCTCTGTAGGGAACTGAACGCTTGTGGGTCATGAGGCGAACCAACATGGAGGGAATAGTGACGCTAATGCACCCCACATCCAGTACTGACAGGTTCCCTAGGAAGAAGTACATGGGGGTGTGGAGTTTGGGTTCCACCACGACGGCTGCCAGGATGCTGAGGTTTCCTCCGACTGTGAGCAAATAAGCAAAGAAGAAGAGGACAAAGACAAATGGTTGCAGCCCAGGTGTCTCCACCAGGCCCAGGAGAATGAACTCGGTGACTGCTGTTCCATTGCCCCCGCATTCTGGCTCCATGAGGCCCTGTAATGAGATATTCCAAGGCGGAAAGGATCGATCTTCATGACTGACCTCCTCTACTTGCCGAGCCCCCAACTATCCCAGTGGGTATTTTCTAATGTTATGCATTAGGCCAACACTCATCTATTAACCCTGTTGCTTTCAAGCTCACCAACATTCAGGAATATGGGAGGTTTCAAACTCCTTTCTTGACTTTTTTGGGGGGATTGGGGTGGGTGGGTGCCAGTCTTGGGGCTTGTATTAAGAGCCTGGGGGTTATCCCTAAACTCTTCTTTGCTTAAGAGTAACACTCTACCACTTGAACCATAGTTCCACCTCTGGCTTTTTAGTGGTTCAGTTGAGGTGAGTCTCCATAGACTTCTCTGACAGGCTGGCTTCTAACTACAATCCTCAAATCTCAGCCTCCTGAGTAGTTAAGATTACAGGTCTGAGCCACTGGCACCTGGCCTTTCTTTCTGTTTTTATGTTTGCTTTCAGATGATGTATGAAAAATCAGGTTAACTTTTATAATGACATATCATTAATATACCCCATACATCTTACATATATGTTTGGGTTCCTTACGAACAGCAGTCCCCAGCAGATCTAATGTGCTACAGTTGTGCAGATTAAATAAAGGTCTTCAGTGCTACTTGAATTTGCCTTGATGCTCTTTGATGTAATAAAGGAACATTTACTACCCAATGCCCTCTTCATATGAAATCCACCTGTAACAAAATATTCTACTGCTTTATCTGCTTCTACAAAAATTATTCAGTGTGTTATTCATCAGTGGAAACTTGAAGCTTATTCTTTTCTCCATGAGCATTTTTGGCAGAAGATGGGCATTTTCACAATATTTATTATCTGCCATCAAAAATGTCTTTTGACTTTTTTCATTTTGATGATCTTTTAAAATAATAGCTACCAGACAACACTTGGTCCTTAGAAGTATTTGAATTTTTAAAGAGTAGAGCTATAAGCATTGTGAATAATTATAACTAAGGTATTCTCTCTGGAACTATATTTGCCATGATCTATGAATAAGGAAAACATATTACTAATTATTATGAAATCTCTTAAATCCAAAATATCATGTTATTGAGTCACTGTAGAGATCCTGTGTGGAGAGTGGCATTCAGTTGGAATCACTGGGAGTATCTGTCTAGTGGTTGCCAAATATTTGCTCAAAAGCCCGAGTACACTGTTGGCCTTGTCAGTGTACATAACTGAATCAGTGAACTGGTTCACAGTGCAACGGGTTCTTGGGCACTTCCTGGAGGTTGAGATCATGCAGAATATCTACTACCTCATTTCTCAAATGATCCTTTTATTAAATGGAACATTGTTAGATTAGAGTTAATGGGGCTAGAGGAAATACAGAATGTACTTATATAGGTTTTTCTGGGTGTAAAAAAATGGTGCTCTTGAAGGATCAGTTTGTTGTATGCTTGCTGACCCCATAACAATGAGGCTATCAGAGAATTTGTATGAGCTATCCGAAATTCGTCTACTGGCCAGCTCAAGATAAATGCTTCTAACCAACTTTCCAAGAACATTTCCTGGTACCTAAGTAAGTATTTGAAAATATACGTGCAAAAGAATGAAACAATATTCCTACCTCTCATCAAAGATAAAACTCTACTAAAATGTATCACAAATCTAAATGTAAGACCCTGAATTAAAACTACCAGAAGAAAACATAGGGGAAACACTTTAATACATTGGTATAGAAAAGACTTTTAATAAGATTTTAACCCAATAACATGGCCACCAAAAGAAAAAACACAAACAGGATTAGAAAAATATAAGAAACCTTTTATCTTAATAAGAAGTGAACAATCTCTTTCTGTGAAGCCATCATAACCCTCATCCCAAAACTAGGCAGGGACTCATCAAAGAAAAAGAACTATAAACACATTTCTTTGATGAACATCGATGCAAAACTTCTCAACAAAATTTTGGCCAATTCAACAACTCATCAAAAAATCATATACCATCATTAAAAAGGATTTATTTCAGGGGTGCAAAGCTAGTTCAATATGCTCATATCAATTAATATAATTCATCACATCAGCAAGAGCAAGGATAAGAACTACATGGTTATCTCAATAGATGCAGAAAAAGCATTTGACAAGATCCAATGTTCCTTTATGATGAAAGCTCTGAAAAACTAGGAATTCATGGAACACTTCAATATAATAAAGGCTGTGTATGGCAAACCTACAGCCAGCATTATACTTAATGGAGAAAAGCTAAAGCCATTTCATCTAAACTCAGGAACGAGACAAGGATGTCCATTCTCTCCACTTCTCTTCAATCTAGTATTAGAATGCCTAGCTACAGCAATAAGACAAGATGCAAACATAAAGGGGATGCAAATAGGGAAAGATGAAGTAAAACTCTCCTTCTTTGCAGATGACATGATCTTATATTTAAAGAACCCCACAAACTCCACTTCCAAATTACTCGAGCTGCTCTGAAAATTTGGCAAAGTAGCAGGGTATAAAATTAATCCTAAAAAAATCAGTGGCTTATATTAGAAATCATTTCTATAGTAATCTTTAAGACACAAAACCCAGCAAAAAAACATTTGTAAGATACTATCTATTTGGAGCAAAGATTTTTATAACTAGTTTGTTTCTTTTTTAAATAAAGTAATGTAAAAATCAAAAAAAAATCAGTGGCTTTTCTTTATGCCAACAGTGAGAACAGCGTGGCTGAAACCAGGAAAGCAACTCCTTTTGTAATAGCCCCACAAAAAATAAAATACCTAGGAGTTAACTAAGGAAGTGAAGGACCTTTATGATGAAAACTTTAAAAACCTGAAAAAGGAAATTAAAGCAGAACTAAGGAAGTAGAAAAAATACTCATGCTCCTGGATTGGGAGTATTAACATCATGAAAATGGCAATACTTCCCAAGGCTATCTACAAATTCAATGCAATACCTATCAATATTCCAACCTCATTCTTAATGAAATAGAAGAAGCAATCTCAAAATTCATATGGAACAATAAAAGACCACAAATAGCAACAACAATTCTTAGCAGAAAGAACAGTGCTGGGGGAATATAAATACCAAACTTCAAATTTTATTACAAAGCTATAGTAATCAAAACAGCTTGCTACTGGCACAAGAACAGACCTGAGGATCAATGGAATAGAACTAAAGACCTAGAAATGAACCCACAGCCCTATAGCCATCTAATCTTCAATAAGGGAGCTAAAAAAAATAGAATGGAAGAAAGACAGCCTCTTCAGTAAATGGCACTAGAAAAAATTGGTTGGACACCTGTAGAAAAATAAAGCTAGATCCTTATATATCACCCTGCACCAGAACCAACTTCAAATGGATCAAAGACCTCAAAGTCAAAGCAGATACCCAGAAAACATTACAGGAAGGAAAAGGAGAAACTCTAGGGTTCCTTGGCACAAGCCAAAATTTTCTTGATAAAGATCCAGAAACACAACAAATCAAAGAAAAGTTAGACAAATGGAATTGCATGAAACTGCAGAGCTTCTGCATGGCAAAGAACATAGCAAGCAAGATCAATAGAAAGCCCACAGATTGGGAGAAGATCTTCTCTAGCTATACAACAGACAAGGGCCTCATATCTAAAATATATTTAGAACTCAAAAAACTAAAAACCCAAACAATAAATCCTCAAAGAAACAACTGCCCAATTAATAAGTGGGCTAAAGACTCAAAAGGAGACTTCTCTAAAGATGAAATAAGAATGGCCAATAGACACATGGAGAAATGCTCAACTTCTCTAGCCATAAAAGAAATGCAAATCAAGACAACATTGTGATTCCACCACACCCCACTTAGAATGGCTATAATCAAGAAATCTAATAACAACAGATGCTGGAGGGGATGTGGCCAAAAGGGAATGCTACTATACCATTGGTGGGAGTGTAAACTTGTTCAACCACTTTGGAAAGCAGTATGGAGGTTCCGCAAAATACTCCACATAGAGCTCCCCTATGACTCAGCAATTCACTTCTGGACATTTTCCTAAACGATCACAAACAAGGCTATACTAAAGCTACCAGCACAACTCTGCTTATTGCAGCATTATTTACCATAGGTAAGATATGGAACCAACCCAGATGCCCTTCAGTAGATAATGGATAAAGAAAATTATATATACATATATACACATACATACATATATATATATATATATATATAATGGAATTCTATGCCTTCATCAGAAAGAATGACACTCCTCAATTTGTTGGAAATGGAGAGACTTGGAAAAAATTATATAAAGTGAAGTAAGCCAAAGAAACATAGGCCCCATGGTTTCCCTTAATTGCAATAACTAGTATATGTGTAGGACAAGCAGAAAAAGCCAAAAGCTATGTACAGATGACCATATAAGATGATGCTAAATGAAAGGAACCCCAAGATAGGGACACAAGAGGTTTTACCTCTTGCTGTTGTTTTTAATGTATTTACACTGTACCATGTGATTTTTTTGTTTCTTTTGTATGTTCTTCCCCCATGGTATAACCCCTGTTTTCACTGTATTTGATTCTGGTACTCTGCAGCTTGTATATACATTTTTCTAATTTGGGGAGGGGAAGGGTACTAACAATATGCTGAAATAAGGATACAGGTTGACCCATTGTAACAAGACAGTATAAACTTTACAACTTTGTGGGGGGCGGGGGGGGGGGAGGAGTTGGGGAGCTGGGAGGGAAGGAGTAGTAGAGGAAAAACAAAGAAGGAGGTAGCAAAGCTCGATAGAAAATGTACTCATTACCTTACTCATGTAACTGTAATCCCTCTGTACAGTATCTTTACAATAAAAATATATATACAAAAAAAGTAAATAATCAACAGCATAAAGAGACAATGAGCAGAAATAGGGAGAAGTATTTTCAAACTTTTCATCTGACAAGGGATTCATATCCACAATAAAGAAGGACCTTAAACAACCCAGTGGCAAAACTAAAATAATCTAAATTTTTATTATTTATTTTATTGTGAAAATACCATACAGAGGGGGGTTACACTTACATGGGCAAG